TTCTAAGTCGATAAGTGGACCTCCTGGTAGGAGATCAATACCCGAGAATTCAGTCGACGAGAATGTTATTTCTATCAATAGGTCTATGATGAAGTTAAACAAAAATGGAGAAAGTGGACAGCCTTGACGGACACCACTTGAGGTTGCAAAAGTAGATGACAGTTCGCCATAAGCTCTGACTCGACTAGTAGTGTTCGAGTAAAGAGCCTTTACAAGGTTTATGTACTTCTGGGGTACGCCTTTCAATGACAGACACTGCCACAAAATCTCGCGGTCTACCGAGTCAAATGCTGCTTTTAAGTCGAGAAAGACCACCATTGTCGGACGCTGATAAGTATGCCTGTGTTCTAGAATCTGACGAATGGTGAATATGTGGTCGATGAAGCCAGCTTGAGTCTCTCGTGTTTGCAGTTGACGAGTCTTAGTTAGGCGTCTGATAATTATCGAGGCTAGTATTTTATATATTATATTGGTTAAACTTTCTGTAAAATTCATCTTTCACATCATCTGAGCTGCAGCCAGTGGGAGCGTAGGCAGAAACGACGAAAAGGCAACGTGTGTCCCTATCCTTCCGAGTTCTTACGGAGCCGTTTAGCCGAACAGCACATAAACGACTGTTGACGGGGATCCACTCTAACAGTGCTTGTTCCGCCCCCATGCTTAGTGCTATGCCTACACCTGCCAGTCCACGAGAACTGGCTATCGGGTCACCAGATACACGGAGGGTGTATATCGTTGGCTCTCCGTTTTGCCGAGGTGAGGTCAAGTGAATAACCACACTGGAATCCTGTATGTGTGTTTCGGAGACACAGCATACATCAATGGAAAGAGACTCTAGGGTTTTAGCCAAGGAAGCCTGCTGATCGATTTGACATAGGGTGCGTACGTTGAAGGCTCCAATGTGTAGTTTGGAGCGAGGTTTCAGTAGACCTGGGACAGAGTTTTGAGCACTAGAATCGTTGGCTATGGTGACACTTGAGGAGGGAGCCGAAAGAGGAAGTTTAGAGTTGAAAGTCGATGTAGGAGGAATAATAGGAATTGAAGAATGTTGATTATGAATACAGTGGTCTCGAGTGCTGTTAGAGGTATGAGGGCGGTTATCACTTCCCGGCTGCCCACACCGAGGAAGGGTTCTTCTGGAGGTACCTGAAAAAGAAATTGGATTAGAGGTGGTCTCAGTGACCTGGCAGCGTGACCGCAGTGCCCAAGGGACAACTGCTTGAGGCCGGTCGCGCACGGCCTTTTCGTGGGAGGTTTTTGACGTGTTAGCTCTGTTCTTCAAAGGGCCTTACCGCCGGAGACGGATATCCGTGAGGTAAGGTGAGGTGTGACATTTTTAGGGTCGACCTTTTCTAACCCCACCGCTCATTGTGGGAAGGCAGCATCGCTGTCATGCTGGTTGTCTGAAGGAAACACCTTACTGCTGTCACACCTCTCTACAGTCAGCAGTACGACTTCGCCTTCGGACCTTGGGTTTGTTGCTTTTAGTCTTACCGCTCTTCAACCGACCTGTCTGACATGGTAGGACCTTGAGGAACGGTTGTTCCAGCCAGTATAGCTCGATTGCTTCATCACGACAGGCAAGCCCGACCACCACGTCAAAGTAGCAACAACGGTCGGGACCCGTTTCCTAACAACTGTGTTACTTACTCGATGGTCCCATGATATACGAGCAATGTTTCGAAGACACCTATGATCGAATACTAGTAACCTACGAATATCCTCTACTCTTACCGGCCATGTTTCACTGCCATAAAGTAGGACGGAACGAAATGCTGCGCAGTAAATACGTCCAGGGGTTGAACTTCTACCGGGAGGTTCACTTGTTGACTTAGAATATGCAGATGACATGGTTTTATTTGACGAAGACGCTGACAAAATACAGGGTCTTCTGACCACTCTAAGCAACAATGCAAGCATGTTCGGGATGCGATTCTCTCCCTCGAAATGCAAAATGTTGCTTCAGGATTGGGTTACATCGACACCCGAACTAGTGATAGAGAGTGAAGTAGTTGAGTGTGTCGACCGCTTCACTTATCTTGGAAGTCTCATCAGCCCTTGTGGTCTGGTGTGACGAAATCTCAGCACGGATACAGAAGGCTCGACTAGCTTTTACCAACTTGCGTCATTTATAGCGTGGGCGAGATATCCGTCTATCAACCAAAGGACGTGTTTACTGCGTAGCAGTTCGTTCCGTCCTACTTTATGGCAGTGAAGCATGGCCGGTAAGAGTACAGGATATCCGTAGGTTATTAGTATTCGATCATAGGTGTCTTCGAAACAATGCTCGTATATCATGGGACAATCGAGTAAGTAACACAGTTGTTAGGAAACGGATACTAGATAAGGATGGCAAATCAATTGATGAAGTAATGAGACTTCATCAGTTGAGATGGCTGGGACACGTGTTACGTATCCCCAACGACCGACTACCTCGACGTGCGATGTTCAGTGGTATGGGAGTAGGTTGGAAGAAAGCTAGGGGCGGCCAGAACAAAACATGGCACAGATCCATGAAGTCACTGACAAGTGGACTGAGTCATGTTGGTAGGTGTAGACTACCTGGTTGGGGACCACGAGATGATAGCAACCGATGGTTAGAGACCCTGAATGACATGGCTCAAAATCGTTTGCGATGGCGCAGGTGCATCCACTCTTTGTGTTCTCCCAAATTTTGATCTCCTTATTCCTCCTTGTCTCTCTTTTTTTCTCTTCCCAAATTTATTTCACTGAATTATACTCTTTAAATGACATCTCCAAACCCTAATCTTCCCGATTACTGCTTATACCCTTGCTACCTCTACCACTACGGGATTTGAATCGACAACTGCATCTCTGTGCTAAGGTGGTGTGGCAACTCGAACTGATGTACGTACGTACGAAGTTCTACGTTGTTACTGACTGACTTCCTGAGTGGGAGGATAGTAGTCGAGAAGTTCGTGTATCTAGGTAGCTGCATAAGAGCTGGTGGTGGCGTGAGTGAAGAGATCAATGCACGTATAGTGAAAGCCAGAGCGGCTTATGCCAATCTGGGCCATCATTGGCGCCTTCGTGATATTAGTCTGGCTGTAAAAGGTCGGACTTACAACGCGTCGGTGAGAGCAGTTCTGCTCCATGCCTATGAAGCCTAGCGTCTCCGAGTTGATGTTAGACGACCCTGTGTCCGATCATCGTTGTCTCCGAAGTATTGCTGACATCCAGTGGCAACACTATGTTAGTAATGCAGAGGTTCGGCACCGTGTGTCCGAGCACAGAGATGATAATGCAATTGGTTGTACAGTCTGAAGTGTTTTGGTTCTTCTACGTTGAATTTCATGTTCGGGATGTCATAGTCATAGGTATACTTTCTTATTATCAATGTTCATCAACCAAACTTAATGATGTGAAAAAGTCTTGCCTTGTTATTTATAGTGGTTTATCATCACTTATGGTGCAGACACGTACATTAATCGAAATCCAGATTTGAATTTCCGATTTTATTAGACTTTCTTAAATTCTAACCTGCAGATAATATTGGTGAGGTGGAAAATTTAGTCCGACCAACTTAAGGGAACTATCGTAGGAGATATACTTTATTTAGCTAACATGATATCAACTGCAATTACGTAAATTTTGTGTCGACTCATATTATTATTGTGGAGGATTTTTTATTTGCCAAATTTGTAATTCATTCAATACATGAAACTAGTGCAGTAATAAATTGTTTTCAACTACTGACTGGTCTGAGATATATTGATCTGAACCACACTTTTCGACACACAGGATTTAGGTTCACATACTGACAGTCACTTAAAGTTATGCTATATTGAGTGAAGTGACATTTGGTTAATAGAAAAACATTTGGTTTCGTTGGAAAAACTTAGGGGCAGAATTTGCCGTTATTTATTTAACCACATAAACATTGGTACAAGGGGGCACCAAATATATATGGGCCACACAACGCATTTGATTTGTGTGAGGTCTAGGATACTGCCCGGGCGTTACAGGGCTACCAAAAAGTACGTAAAATTACTGAAGAATCTTTACTTAAATGTCTTAAGTTGACTCAGATTTTATGATAAGTCATTTGGAATGACCACATCAAGTGGTATAAGTCAAGGGTGGCAACGTTCTCCGTTACAGATACACTTAGAAAATAATTCACACGACTGTTTAGAGACTAAACTCCTAAACAAAGCCAGAACAAACATAGAAACAGGATAATATGAATTTATTGTGTCGTGGTTTCTCACCAGCTGCTTACGACCCCTTACCTGTAATCTCATGTGGCGATTTAGAGCATTTTCTTATTGCTTCAAGGATTCAATACAACTACCACACAAAGTACTAGGAGATAGGTTATGTACCCAGTAAACACACCTGGAAATATGCTGGTGGAGTAATAAATAAAACTCCGGTGGCAATGCTTTCTGACTTTTTAGCAAAAACAAGATCTAGTATTTGCCTGAATGCAATCCGTATACTGAAAGTTTGTGATACTAGATTATAATCCGTGAATCATATGTTGCACCTACGTAAGTGGTGGTACTAGATAAGTCTCCGTGGCCACGTGGCATCGTTATACCCTGCAAGGTGTGGCCTAAAGCCTAAAATATAAACATTTGCACAGCTTCCGAGTATCAATACGAGATGCAACTTCCCATATCAAATTATATATGGGCTAAGAACCATAACAATGCGTACAGATGATCGTGATGTCATAGGAAACCCATCCATTTAAAAATAACCGCGTTTTCATATCCTTAAAGGTGGCAGGATATGAGAAATGGGGATCCTTAAAAAGGGAAGAAACACCAATGAGTGAGTTTTATATGACAACCAGACGTAAGTTATTATCCCTTCCTACACGAATACGTGTGACTAATATTTCTTATTATGAACCCAAAAAAATCGGAGTGGTGACAAGCAACAAGAATAGATAAGCATTTAAAATCTATAAACATCTCTAAACATAGAAGATCTTAATGGCAAATACTTTGAGGAAAAAACACACAACGCACGTGACAAAGGCGCGCCTTTCAATGACCAATATCCCAAACAAATTTGATTAAGCTTATAAGATTTTGGACCAATTCTTGTTGTTCTAGTAAGATAAAAGGTCCTTGATAATGCTTACTGGCTGTGGTCTGGCCATTCAACTGATAGTGTTTTACTTGTTATCAGTGTTATTTGTTACGTATGCCTGTTGCCTTTCGTGGAGTAGCATAGGCCGCCCACCAGCATTCTCCATCCACCTCTGTACTGGGCAATTCTTTCCATTTGCCATTCATCCTTCTCACTTCTTCCAATTCTCGACACAGTGTTTTCCTTTGTCTTCCTCTTTTCTGTTTCCCTTCAGGATTCCGAGTTGGCGCTTGCCTTGTGATGCAGTTTGATAATTTCCTCAATGTATGCCCTATCCACCTTCATCGTCTTTTCTGAATTCCTCCTCAGTTGGAAGTTGTTTTGTCGTCTCCCACAGTAGACTGTTGCTGATGATATACGGTCAACGGACACTGTGTATCTGGTGTAGACAATTGTTTATAAGTACTTGTACCTTTTTGATGATGGTTGTGGTAGTTCTTCAAGTTTCAGCTCCGTACAGTAGGACTGTCTTGACGTTCGTATCGAAGATTAAGACAATGATATTGATCGATATTTATTTTACATCCCATATATTTTGTTCAACTGCAAAAACGCTGCCCTTTCTTTGCCAATCCTTGCCTTCACGTTTGCATCAGATCCTCCTTGTTCATCGACGATGCTGACCAAGTCCGTGACTCTTTTCATCTCCTCCAGAGCTTCTCCATCACGTATTACTGAGTCGGTGTTATTCGTGTTGTATTTGAGGCTTGTGGTTTTTCCCTTATGTATGTTGAAGCCAACTGATGTAGAGACTTCTGTCATATTGTCTTGTCCTGCATTTGCTCGTGTGTACGGGATAGAAGATCTAAATCATCCACAAAGACCGAATTGTCTAGTTGCAAGCAAGCTGTCTATTGTAACCCGTGCTTGTCGTCAAGTGTCAAGGTGAGGGTAAGCAGTCCAATGTATGAATTCTGGATGATGTTGATGATTTTATCAAGTACACCATAGTATCGAAGAATATTCCATAGTGTTCTCCTATCCATGTTGTCAAATGATTTCTCACAGTCAAGAAATTTAATGGTGACGAGTTCCATTCAACTGATTATTCAACACTGACACGTCACGATTTTATCTGTGCACGACCGATCTTTATGGAATCTGGCCTGTTGACATCGAAGTTGTTCGTCCACTGAATCTTTCGTCCGGTTCAACAACACTGTTGGAAATTTTTCTTGGCTCTAATAACAGCGTGATTTATTTGTAATTCTCATGCTGGTTACGATCTTTCTTTGGTATCCGGACGAGGTATTACGTTTTCGAGTCTGTCGTCACTTATTCTTCCCCATAAAATTTCTGGATATGATATGCAACATATTTGCGGCTAACTCTATATTTAACTTCAATGCGTCGTCTGGTATATCGTCGGGTCATGCTGTTCTCCTACCTTTGATGGAGTGACATATATCGAAGGTCTGTCTGTGTTACTCTGATGTCCAGTGTATTCAGTATAGCTGGCCTATTCAAGGGTTTCTCGAATTAACCTACCCAATTGTTTCCCAGCTTTTGAATCTCAGTGATTGGCTTGCCTTCATTTATATAAACTGATCTTTCTGGTCTACTATATTCCCCCACCGGTTACTTAGTTGTGCCGCATAACCATCTCGTATTTCCTCCGCTTGCAGTTTTTCCATACGTCGTTGCTAGGTCTTCCATATATTTCTGCTTGTCAGCTCAGAAGCCCCTCTTTACTTGTTTGTTTGCTTCTGTGTATTCGGTCCGTGACGTGACCTCCGTTATTGCTCGGCTGTTGTTGATTGCCGTCTCCTTGTTCTTCATTTCCTGAGGCTTCTCCAGGGTTTCCATAAAAGTTAAAGATGCCACAAGTATTTTGTATTTGACAACGCTTTAACCAGTAACACTAATATGGATCGAACCCATCAAATGAAATCAAAAGACAGAAGCGAGGAGGTCCGAAGATATATTTGATATGCTATCAATATATCGACGGTCGACTAATCTAGACTGGCTAGCGATTGCAGGGGTTGTTGAGGACGGCGTTCCCACTCGTGATCTGGTGCGGATGCATGACCGAGCACCTTCAGCTAGGTGAGTCCACTAAAACTAATGTGGTCAGCATTCAATGTCGAAGACTTACAGAGCTATTCATTTTGGGGATTTATCTACCGCTACATGGTTCATTCCTTATGATGATGCTTCTTGCGGTTCAGAACCTCCTGAAGCTTTGAAGTTAGTGCTTCTTTGATCCCTTCTCAATTGTCCTCCATAGTAGTTTCTTCTTCTTTCAGTAGATCCGATAAGGCTTGGAACCTGTTGTTAAGAGCTATCTTGAATTGGTAGAACTTGTCAATATGTTGACGGAATGTTGCATTGGACCTGTGTGATGCTGTTTCAGCAGCTGTTCAGTGCTTCCTTAGCCTCATTTTCATCTTGGCAACCACCAGCTAATGGTGACCTGAAGTTACGTCATCTCGTCTCCCGGTACTCACGTCTTTCATTGATCTTCCAAATTTTTCGATGCTGCAAATATGATCGATCTGGTTCTTTGTACTGTGATCCGGTGAGACCCATGTGACCTTATGAATGCGTTTGTATGGTAAAGTGAGTCCGCCTATAACCATCTTGTCGAATGCACATAAATTTGCGAATCTCTCACCATTCTCGTTCCTTTCTCCCAGTTAGCCCATGTTGTCTCACGATATCTTCATATCCTCTGTTGTCCATTCCGACTTTGGCGATTGAGTCTCCTATCAGGATGGTCAGGTCCTTTCCCGAGCACTTCGCTATGATCGATTGCACTTCTCATCAAACTGATCTTTATCGTCGTCGTTGCTATGGTCGGTGGGTGCATAACAATGGATAATATTCACTATGATACTCCTGTCTTTGTTTGAAAGATGCTTTGACGATCCTGGATCCAAGAGATCCCCATCCTATAAGTGCTTTACGAGCTTCTCCTGAAACCATCAGAGCAACTCCCTCAGTGTGTGCAGCATCTTCTTCGTCACCAGAGAACAGCAACATCCCTACCGAATCTATCTTTTCCTGTCCACGCTGGGTTCAATAGGTTTCATTGATTCCGAGGACCGTCAAGTTATATCTCCTCATTTCCGCAGCTATTTCATTGGTACCCCCAGTCTCCCACATTGTCCAAACATTCAATGTACCTATATTAATTGTTGCTGTGGTTGTTAGGAAGGGACTCTGTCTCGTGACTTCCGAAGGATCTCAGCTTTTACCATAAGTTGTCATAATTCTTCGGACTGAAGATCCTTCAACTCAGAGATCAGAGTTCAGGTGGTTTAACTTGTTCATTCTGGTTAGCGTTTTTTGGCAACGCTGTTTTCTATGGGATGTGGTTGCTGACCCCACTCCCAACCCTCCCCATATATGTGGGCCTGGAATCTGCAGTAACCCTAGAACAGATACGGGCGTCGTTATTTGTGGGTGTGTTTATTCTGTAATCTGAGTGCATTTGACTGAAGGATGGAGGGATTCTGAATTATGTGTAATGATGAACACTACCAGTTGACTGGGATTGTTGTGGGGTATATCCCTCGATGAGATGGGTGTATATTCTCACCTTGATTAGTTTCTCAACAACTGCTAAAGCAACTATGCTCACACGCTAGGACATCAATGCACCAATAAGTTTTTCAGTAAACGCATCCGACTCGGCAAACGGAGGAGTCTTAAAACAATGGATAAACAACACGTGACAATCTTCGGCATTCTTCACGAGACGATTGGATGACACTGAATCGAGGTATAGCATTTTTGGTAGGGAACTCCTAGCCACATTTTGTTCCGTACAGCACTTGCAACACTGAAGAGGGCCGAGAATTTACTCTGTTTACTAATCACAAACCTCTCATCTCTCTCAGCTCTTCAGACAAGTACTGACAAGTACGACCGCCTACTACTCACACGTAAATGGGTTTGTAGAACGCTTTCATTCACAGTTGAAAGCTTCACTATCAGCTGTAAACGTTTCACAGTGGACTGACGCTCTTCCGTATGTTTTACTCGGTATTCGCAATTCAGTGGAAGCCGACACTAGATACACTGTAGCACAAATCGTTTACCGAACAACACTTCAAATCTCAAGGGGATTCGTGAATCCTTCATCATCTCCAATGAATATGAATTTAGACTGCTACACGAGCATGCTTACAAACTCCATGCGTTCAATTAAACCTGTTTTCATTCGATCACAGTTGTCCAGTGTTCTCATTCAACCTGCCCTACAGCATAGAAAACACGCTTTCGTACGCCGTGACCCACTTCGACAACCTCTTGAGATGGCATACGAAGGACCCTTCAAAGTCCTTTATTGTTCAACTATATACTATGTCATCGATAAAAAGGAACTTAAGGTAACGTCAGCATTGTCAGTCCTAAAGTCACGTTTTTAGAGGCGAACCCCAATGATGTTGATTATCCAATAGTACACTCGAAGGACACGAGCCTCAAAATTACGATATCTCACACGACAATCGACAATCACAAAGTAATTTCGATGGTATCTGACAGCCGGCGTAAAACAACGTGCTCTGGAAAAAGGCTAAGGTTTCTGTTGTAACGTGTGTGACTGCAGGTTTTGATAAGCAGCGTTTTATCGATCGATTACAGTGACACGTAAACATGTACGGACGGCCTAGAGTCTCGATTGGTCCCGCTCCGCAGTCTGTCCCAGCCAGTTGAGTCAGGAACACAAGTCACAGCCTCTGAGTTATGAATCATTATATTTCAAATATACTTTGTTTATATACCAATCAAGCATACCACATCGTACCATAAAATAGGAAACAACATTTACACAATGTTTAACAAGTGAAATAAACATCGACCAATAAGAAATGTACATTTAAGGTTCAAGGCCACCATAGACTTAACACGATAATTATTGGTATATTTTTCCCGACTATCCTAACAGTT